GCCATCATTTTGTTGACTGGATTCAATGTACATGCGTGTGTGTGTGTGTATATTATATATAAATGGAGCATGCACTGTCGTTGTTATGTAACATGCCCCTGGAGAATGGATGAGACACCCCCCCCCCCTTGAAAATTGAGAAGTTGGGTTGGCAGTCACCCTGGGAACAGTTTTTCTAGGAAAATCGAAACTATGAATATGATATTATGATTCCTTTCGGACTAGTAGGCCTATTTTTTTTTTTCTTAAATAGGCTTTCGTCATAAATTTCTTGACCAAATCTCCTTGAATTTTAAAAATTTCTCCTTGAAACCTCCTTGAAAACTCCTTGAATTTGATGGGAAGTTCATGGCAGGAACCCTGGTCTTTTAAAAGGAAAAGAAAGGTCATCAAAATGGTTGAATTCACGTGAAAATCGATTCGGTAGAACTGGAACTATTAAAATTTGCTTCTGAAAACAAGTTACACAAGGCCATTTTTATAACTCGATGAAATAAAAACTACTGGCTGTGTACTGTGTTATTCTGTATAAATTGTGGAACTTCAGGACGTATTATTATTTCCCAACATCTTTTGACGCCTGAGCTGTAGAGGTTGAAGTTTTCACAACACTAATAGATCTAGTAATAGGACTTTCCGTAAAAAATGCATAGACCTACAAAAGCCAAACCACCGAATCGACCGGGCACCCCGCTCTCCCCTGTACACTGTGATAACGTGTTGCTTCGGTATAATTATTCTACTATTAATACGTGCGGCTATGGCAATTGGGATGTAGGCCTACTGACTGAAAAAGCGATTCACAGTTTTGTTTTTATTTTACCATATATATATATATTTGACTTTAATAGTGCAGGTGATAGCTAGATCTAGATTCCCTGTCTAGAATCAGTAGTAGCAGGCCTATGCTAGAAGCAGCCAGAGAGCCTGCAACTGCTACATCTAGATCTAGATCTAGATCTAACTCATTGCTATGCCTTTGGGCTTTGGAATTGAAATAAAACGAATTGCACAGTTCTAGTTAATTTTAGATTCAGCAACTATCTGTATTTCCAGAGTTTATAATAACAAATCTCACCATAACAACAATCCCTTTTACTTTTTATTAGAATAATTAGATCCAACTTTGTTTTATAAAATCTGTTTTGCGCAAACTTCAGATTTTCTCTACTTGTAGAGCACAGAATATACATTGTAAGCCTCTGCTCAGTCTTTTACTTTTAAGTATATATATTATAATAATACAATGCGTATAGATCTAGATCTATATGATCATTTTATGTTATTTTCTGGATATTTTTAAAACTCTTTTTTTAACATGTCATAAAGTCAAATTGTGCCTTTTCTTTGATAAAGAATAGCATTAGCAGTGGACCTTTTAGACAGTGAGTCTCCCAATTTTTTTTAATGCTAATCAATGAAAATTGCAAATTGATAATAGTATAGTCCTGTAGAGGATAGGTGGACTCCGGGGTCTGCAGAGCGAAATACTAGGTCTAGGTTTTAGGATGTGAACCCAGGAGTTACCGTAGTGACTTTTTAAGGATTGGTGGACCCCGGGGTCAACGTAGTGATAAATAAGCAAGTTTAAGGTGGACCCCGGGGCCCGGGGTCTACCTAGCGAAATACTAGGTTTTGGGACAGGTGGACCCCGGGGTGACCGTAGTGAAATAAGTAGGTTTCTTTAGAGATCGATGGACCCCGGGGTCATCGTAGTGAAATAAGTAGGTTTCTTTAAAGATCGGTGGACCCCGAGGTCACCGTAGTGAAATAAGTAGGTTTCTTTAAAGATCGGTGGACCCCGGGGTCATGTGCAGTCCGTGCCGGCTATAAGCTAGTGATGGGCCGATACCACAAATTAGGTATCGATGTCGATACCTAGTACTTTTCAAGATATCGATACCGATATCTCGATACCTAATGCTATTGGTAACATACGCCGGGGGTAATAAGTAGACAAAAATACAACTATACTTTTCCAAGTATTTAGGTAATCGTGTCTATACAAGTTGTGACTATTTAGCTGAGACTCAAACAAAAATTATTTGTGAAAGAGAGAGAGAGAGAGAGAGAGAGAGAGAGAGAGAGAGAGAGAGAGAGAGAGAGAGAGAAATAAATACCCAAATATGAGAATAAAAACAAAAATTAAGAGAAGTATGGGAGGAAAGTCAACTTTGCAGAAAATGTTAGTATTGGAAAATAAAAACACAAAAGGCAATTCGATTTACCAGATTTTTAGCAACTTCAAATTAAACCAATGAGGATAAATCAGAGTTGTCAGTGAAGATTTTGCAAAATCACTAGATACATTTCATGAAAAACTTCTCTCTTTTTGTTAAGAAATCACTAGATTCATTTAAAGCGCTTGCCCCCCTACGAAAACTTATCAGTTTTGATAAACAAAAAATTCTCAAGGCCCAAGTCACTTGCTTTTGCAGCCGTGGGATAAATAGCACATAGGTATCGATGTTTAGAGCAGGTATCGGTACCGATACCGATACCCATAGGTATCTAAGTATCGAGTACCTGGTATCGATACCTGCCCATCACTACTATAAGCACGCCGGCTTAAAGCACGTTTAGGACTCAAGCACGCTAAACGGCTCTTACCGAATTTTTGCTATAAATTACACGCCTTTAAGCACGGTAACTTCGGCTTCAAGCACGCTTCATTTACAAGACAGTCAATATTTTCATGATGACCCATCGAAGTTCGAACAGTCTACACCGCAGCAGTGGAGTGTGTCAAGAGAAACACAAAGAACGCAAGTGATGGAGACACGCACTCACACGCGGGGAGAGGAAGGCAGAGAGATGCACACAGCCGTGCGCGCGGACATAGGATCTAGCCTAGGCCTAGGGCAAAGAAAGCTACACACGACCCAAAAAAATACTAAGAGAGTCGGGGAGACGAGAAAGGTAGGCTGGCTGCGATTTCACCTTTGACCCTCGCTATCCATTAATCCTGATTGTGTATCACGCGCGAGGTGGGATGAAGGCGGTGGTATGAGTATGAGTGGCACAGCGGGCAGTGGTACACACAGACAGTGTGTAGGCCTAGTGTGCTGTATCGTCGTGACTGGCCGTCTAAATTAAATTTCATTTCCCATTCGACCACAAAACAAAAACAAACAAGCGAACAAAAACTACCATGGCGGGTGTCTAAATAACAGTGCACACTTTTGCGGGACCGCTATAGGCCAACTTACAAACAAAGGGAAATAGCACGGGGAATTTTCTACATGAAAATCTCTTGATTGTGTCTACTTCGCACTCAAGCACGCTTCGGCATTAAGCACGCTTAAGCTTTCTCCCGACGACCGTGCTTAAAGCCGGCATGGACTGTACTAGATCTATGTCTCTGAAGAACATTTTGCTTGACTTTATCAGCTTTTTTCATGTACTTGAAAGCATAGAATATAATAGTTTCACACAAATGTATGCACAATACCTTGACAAAGAAAGATAAGGTCATTGTTGTTGTTTTTTAAGGGGATCCGCGGGTCGACCACACGCGATTTTTTCAAAGTTGGGGTTCAAAGTATCGAATTTCAGGTTCTAGAGAATTCTTGTAGAAAAATATGTCGGCAATCCCATTTCGGA